TCGGCTTGGCGTTGCTTGGCTCGGCTTGGCTCTACTTGGCTGGGCTTGGCTAGGCTTGGCTCGGCTTTGCTTGGCTTTCACTGGCTTTGCGCTTGGCTTGGCTTGGCTTGGCTTGGCTCGGCTTAGCTTGGCTCCGCTGGCTTTGACTGGCTTTGCGCTTGGCTTGGCTTGGCTTGGCTTGGTGGCTCGGCTTGCCTCGGGTTTGCTCGGGTTGGCTCGGCTTGGCTCGGCTTGGCTCGGGTTTGACTGGCGTGCTAGCGCTGGCTTGCTCGCTTGCTTGATTGCTTGCTCGCTGGTTGGCTGGGCTGGCTGGCTGGCTTGCTTGCTGAGTTACCTGCGTTCGTCCTTGCTTACTTACTTGCTTGCTTACTTTCTGACATACATACTCACGTTTTGCTTATCTACCGACATACTTTCTTGCTTCTTCCTTCTTTGCTTGCTTGCATACTCACTAACCGGCTCAGTCACATACGCACTTCCTTGTTTAGGTACTCACTTGAGTACGCACTTTCTCACTCATTAACTTACTCACTCGCTCACTTACTTGTTTACGTGCATATGGTTAGCTGGTTAGCTACTGCTGGATAGTTAGTCAGTTTACTTACCCACCAGAGCGTACGCCGAGTAACCCCGATCCCCCCGAGGCGGATACCTGAAGGGGCGGAGGTTGCTGATGGGCGGAGGGGCGGACCCGAGCAGAGGGGGAGGGGGATAGATAGATAGTATCTGACGGGAGGAGTATCTGGGAGGGATATGTATAGCACACGGTGGAAGGCGAGTATCCGACGGGTGGAGGTACCTGACGGGTGGAGGTTGCTGACACGCGGAGGGTGCGTAGCTGTCGGACGAGGTTGCTGACGGGCGGAGGGTTGTTGATATGGTGGGTGGCTGACGGGGAAGGTTGCTGACGAGTGGAGCGTTGCTGACAAGGGAGGAGGGATTCCCATTGCTACAGTGGAGGGCGAATACACCTGATGGGTGGTTGCTGACGCGTGGAGGGCGGGTAGCTGACGGGCGGAGGGTTGCTGACGAAAAGAGAGCTTAAACGGGGACAGACAGTATCTGACGGGGACAGATAGTATCTGACGAGCGGAAACCTTTAACCTCTAACCAGTACAAGTATGTACCTGACAAACCTCTAACCTCTAACCAGGGGGTTAGAGTAAGAGTTTATGTGAGGTACATTATCGTACCCACCTGCTTACCTACCTACATACCTGCCTACTTGATTATTTACGTAATCTCTTATTTACTTAACCGCCTGCCTGCTTACTTACTTAGTGACTTCATCAAACAGTTACTTACTTACTTCCTGACGCACGTTCGCACCTACTCACCCACCTACTTACGTACTTACTTACGGATTTACTTACTTATTTTCTTACTTCCTTGCTTGCCTACTTACTTACTTGAGGAGATATTTATATACATACGTACCAACTGGCTTACTTGCCCACTGAGTTGGTTACTTACGTACTCACCTACCCTTCTACCTATTTACGTCCTTGCTCAAATAAGTAATTACCCGTTTCCTTACTGTCTTGGTTACATAGTTAGCTACTTATCCATTTGGTCGTCTGCTTCCTTCCTTCCTTCCACACTTGCTTACTTGCATACTTGCTGCATTGATTGCGCTTGGTACGTATATACTTGCTTGAACAACTACTCAACATGCTACAGTAGCTGCTACTTCCGCGCCCGTTCGCTCACTCCCTCAACATGCTTGCTTTGGTTGTCTTGGCTGTGCTTGACCTTAGTTTACTTAGGCTTTTACTGTTCTGTATTTTGCTTGAGTATAGCCTAGCAACTTTATTTTGTTTGTCTTTTCGTTGCTGAGCTAGCTTACTTACTTACTTACCTTCTAGCTCCACTTCTACTCGTGCTGATGGGACACTGATGGGACCACTCAACACTGATGCTACTGCCCGGCTGCTTCTGCTGCTACAGGTACTTTGCCTACGACAATGTTTGCTGCGCTGTTGTCGCTGCTGCTGCCAGAACAGTCGCAGTGACGTGAGCACAATCTTTGCTGTCACCTTACAATTGCTCATACCACATCAAAGATGCCCTGCCTGACGAAGGTGTCTCTGATTGGCACCTGCAGCTTGCCACATCTAACCCGTTAGCAGAGCGCTTCAAAACTGTTCGTCCCTCCGCTTTAGTTTTCGCCCTCCATCCTGAAGCTAGTCTCACACCAAACCGACAACACAATGCAGATGGGTGCAAAATAGCTTTCTCACTTCGCTTGCAATGTGCACCCAAACAATTCAGTGTCGGCCTGATGCATCATTGGTGTCTGCATCCAGTACGTCTCGCTCGCTTCGTCCGGACAGGCTGTGCCAGTGGTCCAGTCTAGCTGCTTCGACATGTAGCCAGCCTTGGCACAGGGATCCAAAACATCGGCAAACTGCTCTGAGGCTTTCTGATGGGCTGAACATCTTTCTGAAGCTACCACATTAATTCAAAGCCAAAGCTTAGACAGCAGGCGTTGCCCTGCGCAAAGGCGATGCCGTACATGCCATCCTCACAGCCGGGGCCCTGCCTTGGCTGGGTACAAGCCAGTCTCTGTGACCAGGAAATGCCAACGTCTCGCTCCACTTCAGCTTTCGCACAACACTTTCTCAGGCTTGAGGTTATCACGTATGAAATCACTTAAAAGTTCAAGACACGGCATCACCCCACGATGGCCATGCTGCGTCATCATGCCGTACGATGCATGGGTCACGTCGCCGGCATAGACCTGCCCACGCACACACTCATGGCAAATACCCTAGGGAGAGTGCACGGACTTCGAGAATTGGAACCATCCAACCTACACCATCCTCAGAAAGCCGAAAGGACCGAGATGAAAACGTAGTACGCTAGCCAACAAGACCAAAAAAAATACATACACGAGAAATTAGGGTCCTGTCAAGTTTCTCACTTCGTGCCGGCATGCCAAAGCCAGAGACAAACAAATGCCACTTGATGCTTCTCAAGTCAAACGCACTGGCAACGAACGTGCACCCAAACAATTCAGTGTCGGCCTGATGCATCATTGGTGTCTGCATCCAGTACGTCTCGCTCGCTTCGTCCGGACAGGCTGTGCCAGTGGTCCAGTCTAGCTGCTTCGACATGTAGCCAGCCTTGGCACAGGGATCCAAAACATCGGCAAACTGCTGTGAGGCTTTCTGATGAACAATGTCAGAAACAAGTCACCGCGCAACCCCGACTCGATGCGGTTGATCCTCTCACTCTGCTTGAAGCTTCCCCGGAAGAATTTAGTTCCAAACTTGGCAGCTCAGTGTCGTCACCCTGTATGTAGCCCATACCTTGGAGCCCGTCGTCGCACTGCATACCACCCGACCTGGGAGCGGTGGAAGCTCGAGCTGAAACATACGCCTCCCAAGTCTTCTGGCTCCTCATGGAGAGATGCAACTTCAACACTGGCAAAGCTATTGTGACCCGGCTGCGTCATCATGCTGTACGAGGCGTGTGGCATGTCGCCGGCATAGACCTCTCCAGCTGCCACAAATATCAAGAAAAGCCGACAATGGTTACACTGGAAGCATTTACACCCACCAGCCGCTTCTGATCCTTTCCCAACCCATCCAAGTTCCAAAAAAGACAAAAGCTTGTCAAACCCGCCCAGCTCGAAGCTCGACATGGGATGGGAATCCTTTGTGTTCAAATGCGAAGATACGCTCACCCTCGTCCAAATGCACAAGTCTGCACCTAATTTCGATCTGGGACCATCAACCGCAAGTTGAATTTTCGTTGACAAACAAGAGAAGCTTGTGCCTCTGGCTCGCGATAGGCATGCCGAAGATCAGACTCCATCCTTGCTCAGACACATCTCCAGAATCAGGCTCAAGTAAACCAGACTGTTCTTGAAACTCCTGGCCACAACAAGCTTCAGCTTCAGGGATTCAAATGTGGGCCGAAGCTTCTCGTCTGTGTCTGACTCTAAAACTTCGGTCTCAACTTACGTCACAAGTCCTCCCAGTTCGGGATTGAACACGACAGCTTCCCATCCCCACTTACATCCTATGGCGCAGAGGGGAGACGCCACTCACACCAGTGCAAGCTAGCCGCTGTGAGGTTGGAAGCACATGAGCTGAGTAGCCCATGGTTGCAGCCGAAATGCTTCTGCACTCATGCAAGAACTCGCCATCTCGCATGAAAACACCCTTACTGCTGAACCCTCGTTACATTGCTCCTGGGCACATCATGTCGTCCACGGGAACTGCTGTCCCCATCGGTGCCTTCATGCTGTCTCGGCTGTTTTTGTGGCAGGCGAGGTATGCTCCTAAGTCCTAGGTATCTGATCCCTGATCTTTGACAAGCCCCGTCATGTTGAAGGTCTTTGGAGCGAAAGATCTTCCCGATGGCTCTGCGCAGCTCTGGGGCTGGACGATAGTTTTTCTTTCCGCACATACTGAGCGCAAGGGCTTCCCGGAACGACGGGCATGCCGGTAGGTTATGACTCTGGCTGAAGTTTACACATTTCTGAAGAGAAATGGGCTTGCTGCTGATGGTAAGCAGCCGGTTCAGCCCCAACATATTATTGGAGGCGTCTTCAGTCTGCAAGACCTCTTTCTTCCAATGAAGATGCGCAGCATCACCTTCCACCCGATGGCACTCGGAGCTGCATGAATGCAGCCATCGCCGGAGGACACTAGACCTGCAGTTAGCAGAATCGCATCTTAGAGTAGATTGGGGATGAGTGAAATGCAATGAAAAACGAGTCTGCGAGCTCGGACTGGGTGGGTTTGGGGTGTGCCAGCAATCCTACCGCCCAAGAAATCTATCACACAAGACCCAACTGGCTCAAGTTTGGAATCTGGAGAAGACAGTACAACTGGGAGCAGCTGTTTCTTGCGGCATGTGGTACTTGCGGCATTTCAGTTGCCTGGCTTTTCCCTGCCAGCAGCCTCGCCCCTCTTAACTCGTACATGACATTCATTTTTCCCCTCAGTACCTCAGTGCTGTCATGGCTTGTGCCACTACCACGGCGAACTTCGCTGGCATCACCAGACTCATGTACTAGTTACTAGTCTTGTCATTATCACTGTTATTCTATGTCGAATGTGCGACTTGCTTGGGCACACGAACTTCCATAGGTAAGTGGCATGAGAGGAATGTGGGCTAACTCGCACATGCCCTGTTCGAGATTATCCTGAATACTGACCAGGTTCGCACTGACAGTTGCAAGATCTAGCAGACAATGTGGCATGCTTCGTCGTCTTTCCATGCATGCTGGTGCAAACCAACTTACTCATCATCGAATTTGGTTGCCGTCACTGCTGTTTCTTATGCCACTTCGGCCGGTTACATGGTAAATGTTGATGGAAACATACTTGTTCGACTGAGATGTCCATGCTTCGGATGCTGGCCATTTTATAGGCGAAGACGGAGATGAGCAAGCACTCTGTTAAATGCTCAAGTCGATCGTTCATACACAATACATTGACTTTGGCATAGTATTCCGTTATCGATATTACAGATCATCTTATACAGTTTGCAGTCTTTTTTACATCTGCCTTCACAAGTCTTTGCTGTGTTAAAAATCGTACCATACGCAAAGACATACACACACACACATGCTATTTCTCTTGTGTAACACGTGTATATATATATATATCTATCTATCTATCTATCTATCTATCTATCTATCTGTCTATCTATCTATCTACATGTATGATATTTGCTCCAAGGGCATTTAGATAGATAATGCGGAGCATAGTACCTGCTGTATATTGGGTATAACCTATGTTGCATGAAAGCATGCTATACAATGTATGTATATACATATATGTACATATGTACATGAGAGTTACATGCTATGAGCTTGTATTATAAGTTCTATGTATGTTCTCTATTATGTGTTACAAGTTATCTCGTTTGACTTACATGCTATGAGCTTGTATTTAAAGTTATATTATATGATACAAGTCAGATTATACGTTCTGTGTCATGATTTATGTCTTGAACGTTAGATATTATGTCTGATGTTCTGTATATGGTACATACTATATGCTACGAACACATGTCTTCTGTAATGAACACCCTGTTGGCGAGGTAACCGCTATCACATGCCAAATTACATGCCGGTCAATGCGTGTTCTCTTCTCATAAACTGCATACAATATATGCGTCCGCGTTCTGCATTCCCAGGCCCTCCCACCCCAGCAGCAGCAGCAGCCGCAGCAGGAGGAGGAGTAGCAGTAGTAGTAGTTGTTGTTGTTGTTGAGTAGCAGTAGCAGGAGCAGCACCAGCCGCAGCTGTTGTTGTTGTTGTTGCGATTGCTATTGTTGTTGTAGCAGTTGTCGTTGTTGTGGCCTTAGCAGTGGTATCTCTGTAGCAGGCGCTGAAAGTAACCTCCAGCATCTAAGGTTTGAGCTGCAAGGTGTCAGCTTCATGGCTTCAGAATCTGAGGCTAAGAGCCTAGGTCAGTCCTAAACTCTCAGACTTCAGGGCATCCAGCCGTAGCGCTTAGGCTCTTGTGGCTTTGGCGTGGCAATGGCGCACCAAGCTCCCCTCAATTATTTGCGGGAAATCACAGGTGAAAGAACTAATCACTGTCACGGTGCCCTAAACGACGACAATGCGGCGGATTCATGGAGCTCTCCTGC